CTAAGGGGCATAGTGGATACTTTTCTTGTGGACGGTGTACACAAAAAGGGCAAATGGTTAACCATCGGCTTATTTTTCCACCAGGATGCGAGTATATGGTTAGAAGCAATGATTCCTTCAGAAATCGCCTTCAGCCGGAACATCATTTAAAACAGTCTACTTCACCATTAGAAATGCTAAACATAAATATTGTATCACAGTGGTCCTTATATTATATGCACGTTGTTTGTTTAGGCGTAATGCGAACTTTATTAATTGCATGGGTTAAAAAAAAGGTGAAGATTTCTCTTTAGTTTCCTGGAAAATTGAATCAATTTCAAGAGAGTTAAATTTTAATAGAACTAACATAACGAGAAAGTTTAAAAAAAGCCTCGAAGCTTGAAAGATCTTGATAGATGAAAGACAACAGAACTAAGACAATTCTTACTTTATACGGGGCCTTTTATACTGAAAAAAATTTTAAGTACAGAAAGATATACTCACTTTTTAAAATTATCTTTGGCCTTGAGGATACTTTTGGATAAAAATGACTGCAAGAGTAACAACTCCTGTGCTGAAAAGCTCTTAAAATCATTTGTGAACGAGATTCCAACATTATATGGTTTGTGCTTTCTTACATATAATTTTCTCGCCTTGTTGCATATTCATGAAGATGCTAAACTTCATGGATCTTTAGATGGAGTAAGCGCCTTCAAATTTGAGAACCATCTACAAAAAATTAAACGCAAAGTTAGGAAGGGAGGAAGTGTTGCCGCACAAATTTATAAGAGGCAAGTTGAAATCAGCTATCTTATAAAAAAGGAAGAAGAACATAAACCGCCTACATCTTTTCGGAAAATTAAAAGCGGAAAAATTTTAAGTCTAAATACGAATGATTTCTTCTTTTCTCTACGCGGCCCTGACAACTTTTACCTGGTTCAGGATAAAATTGTTAAGATAATAGAAATAAAAAAATGTCATAGTGGTCCTGTTTTAATCGGAATAGAAGTAACAAATCTGACGGCTCCCTTTTTGCAACCAATCGAATCAAGTAATTTTGATATGTATTCGGCGGCTGACATCGCTTTTGATAATAAAATTGAATTTTCTACAAATCAAATAAATAAAAAAGTAATATGTTTACGAGATTCTTTTGACAACAGTTATTTTTTCACACCCCAACTTAGTAATGTCGCAGAATAATTTCATCTCTTCTGGAGATTTTCAATACACCCCATCCAATAATTTAACAACTTGTAAGTTAAAACTGGAACCCATTATTTTTCCATGTAAACAAAATGATTTGTTTTTCAGTGCAAAATGTTTACGCTTCTGAAACCAACAGCCTTCAAACTCTTGTACTAGATTTACATGGCGAGATTAAATCTTTTAAGTCTGAAATTTCGAGCTTAAAAGAAGAAATTAAAGAATTGAAGGATGGAAATAAGCGAGCATTTACCAAACTAACAGAGGAGGTCATAGCTGTTAAGCTAGAAAACAGAAGGCACCACAATGACATCACATCAATCGATGAATTTGAAGATTTACAAAAACTTCCTTTGGCCGTTATTGCTGATTTAGAAAAATTGGATGGCTAGATACAACACAATGAAGGCACTCTTAAGCAATTTGTATGTTTTTTATTTAACTTCTTATATGAATTTGGTTATACAAGTATTTTTATAAAAAATTTCAGAAAGAATTCATAGCAAAAACAGGCGGTGACGGACCCGCAAAATTTCTAAGAACCGCCGTCCGAAAAGTATTTTGTGACGAATTGGCTTCTGCTTACAGCTGGAAGGGGACCAGCACTAAGCCAAGCGCCGAAAAGTGCTTTCTAATAACAACTGTTAAAAGTAGGCACAGTGTAGCACAAAATTATCGGCACAGGGAATTTTTCACAATGTGTGGAAAATTTTAGTTTTGGTTGTTTTTTTTCGACAGGGTAGGAATATGATGTATTGTTTAATGATTTTCCGTCATCCCTAGTCAATTTTGGTTTGGAGTCAAACCGGTTTTGGCGTTATGCATCTTCAGTGTTATATCTAGAAGAAGACACTGTAGATGATATAACGCCGAAACCGGTTGTCTCCAAACAAAAATTGGCAAGGGATGACGGGAAATCGTTGCACAATACATCTACATTTTTATACCCGAGCGCACTTGTGCACAAGGGTATTATAACTTTGTTCACATAACGGTTGTTTGTAACAGGCAAAACGAATCGAGATAGATATAGACAAATGTATACATAAATGATCAGGATGAAAAGAGAAATCGATTAAGCGGTGACTGTCTGTCCGTCCGTCCGTCCGTCCGTCCGTCCGTCCGTCTGTCCGTCTGTGCACACGATAACTCGAGTAAAAATTGAGATATCTTAACGAAACTTGGTATGTGCACTTCTTTCGAGCGTAGGACGGATGGTATTGAAAATGGGCAAAATCGGACAATAACCACGCCTACCTCCCATATAACGGTAATTTTCAGAAATACAAAAACTGCGATATTTTAGTAACTACTGAAGATAATTCACTCAAAATTGATATTTATAATAAATTTTACACGAAAAATAAGAATATTAACATTTTTTTGAAAATGGGCGTAGCCACGCCCACTTATGGTTACATGTGTATATCTTGGTAACCGCTGCATCAATTTATTCCAAACTTTGCACAGTTGTTGGCCTTAATACAGCATACTAAATGGCCGAAAATTTTAAAAATTGGACAATAACCACGCCCACTTCCCATATAACGGTAATTTTCAGAAATACGAATACTGCGATATTTTAGTAACTACTGAAGATTATTCACTCAAAATTGATATTTACAATAAGTTTTAGACGAAAAATAAGAATATTATAAATTTTTGGAAAATGGGCGTAGCCACGCCCAGTTATGTTTACACGTGTATATCATGGTAACCGCTGCACGAATTTCTTCCAAACTTGGCACAGATGTTAACCTTGGTATAACATACGAAATGGCCAAAAATTTTTAAAATAGGACAATAATCCCATATAACGGTAATTTAGAGAAATACGAAATCTTCGATAAATCAGTAATTATTGAAGCTAATTTATTCAAAATTGATGCTTGCAACAATTCGTTACCAAGAAATACGTTTAGGATACAATTTTGAAAAATGGGCGTGGCACCGCCCACTTATGATCACATATATGTATCTCGGTAACCGTTCTACCAATTTGTACCAAGCTCGGTGTGGTTATTGTACTTGCCACATAGAAGCAAAACGTTGAAACTTATTGAATTCGAACTAAAATTACGGCCGCTTTTCATATAACAGTAAATTTCAGATATACTTGAAACTTCAATATTTCGAAATTTAAGGACGCTAATTTACTCAAAATGGATACACCTCGGTTTACCATGTAGCGGTAGCTTTCGGAAAGGTGAAAAACATATATTTAATACTTGCGCCGGGTATTTAATGTTCGGCTCCGCCCGAACTTAGACTTTTTTACTTGTTTAATTTAAGTTTTTCCACTAAATTTTTATAAAAATTTAGTTCATGCCACAACAAAAAGTAGGAAAACAAAATCTCTAAATTTTGCGCAAAACTCAGAAAAAGTCAATAAAATTGCATACATATTTTCAACTTTTAAAAATTTAGTTAATATCTCTAGAAAGATTCTAAGTATGCAATTATTTAACCCATTCAATTTTAGTAGGTAAAAAATTGTAAGTTTGAAATTTCCAAAAAAGCCCGGTGATTTTTGCCAATTTTTCACGCAGTTTCTTCCATACAAAAAAAATTTCGAACATGGAAGAAACTGCGAGAAAAAATTTCCAAAAATCAACGCAATTTTTTGTATAAATTTTTCATGCATTGTGGAAAATTCCCTGGGCCAATAATTTTGTGCGTACCCATATTTAATGTACCCATAAAATTAATATTTGTCATCTTAGATATTTGCCATCTAAAATACAAAAGCACAGACCAAGAAATGAACGGTGTGCTTCAAAAGCATTTTGTGCATGCTAAAGACAGGATAGCAAAACGAAAACTAACGAGATCACTGCAAGAAAAAACGGCGAAGAACTCACGCAATTGATAAAATGGATTTTTTAATTTAAGTACTTTTAACTTTTATACACATAGGGACAAAAAGAAAATAATTTAACAAATAAAGGAATACAAACTCAAACAACTAAAGAAATAAATAAAGAAAAAATAGGAGAAAAATAATAAGATAAATAATTTGATAAAAGAGGATAAGTTTGTTCTTTAGTAAATAACTTAATTGCATCACATATAGGTTGAGGAATTCCTATAAGCCCAACTTTATTAGGCCCTTTTCGAATTTGAATATAACCCAACACTTTACGTTCTAAAAGAGTTAAAAACGCAACTCTAACTAAAACACAAATTACCAAAATTAATCTACCAATTAAAGATAAAATAAATTCAAAAAAAAACAAGTACTATTTGTAATAAAAATTACATAAATAAATTCTAAATTTATTGCACTAATCTGCCAAAACAGTACAATTAATTATATTCTTTAACTAAAATATAATTATTCTAATACCTGGTCCTTTCGTACTAAGATATTATAATGTATTAAAGATAGAAACCAACCTGGCTTACGCCGGTCTGAACTCAGATCATGTAAGAATTTAAAAGTCGAACAGACTTAATATTTAAGCGGCTACACCTAAAAATATATCTTAATCCAACATCGAGGTCGCAAACTTTTTTATCGATAAGAACTCTCCAAAAAAATTACGCTGTTATCCCTAAAGTAACTTAATCTTATAATCGTTATTAACGGATCAATAAATCATAAATTAATGATTTTTAATAATTAAAAGTTCATTAAATTTTAACATCACCCCAACAAAATAATTAATAAAATTAAAATAAAATACATCCAAAAAATTAAAATTATATTAAATATAAAGATTTATAGGGTCTTCTCGTCTTTTAATTAAATTTTAGCTTTTTAACTAAAATATAAAATTCTACAATAAATTTTTATGAAACAGATTATACTTCGTCCAACCATTCATACCAGCCTTCAATTAAAAGACTAATGATTATGCTACCTTTGCACAGTTAAAATACTGCGGCCATTCAAAATTATTCAGTGGGCAGGTCAGACTTTAAAAATAACTCAAAAAGACATGTTTTTGTTAAACAGGCGAGTATATAAATTTGCCGAGTTCTTTATATAAACTTATCAAATAAAATTATATGTACAATGTATGCAAGGTTTTTTATTCTAAGTTCTTTTCGCAAACTTTTTATAAAAACATAGCTCATATTACAACACAAATGTAAAAATAAACTTTCAAAACTTTGTGCAAAACTCAGGAAAATTCAATAAATTTGAAACTTTTTAAATAGGTTTTGTAGCCCATTAAATTTTAGTATACTTAAATGCAAGTTTCAAGTTGCTAAAAAATCGCGTTGATTTTTACCAATTTTTTTCTGACGTGTCTTCGGTATAAAAAATGGTGAACATACTTTGTATGGAAGACACTCTGCGAAAAAAATGCCACTTGCGACTTGAAACTTGCATTTTAGTATACTATTAATTTAATGGGCTACAAAATCTATTTAAAAAGTTTCAAATTTGTTGAATTTTCCTGAGTTTTGCACAAAGTTTTGAAAGTTTATTTTTACATTTGTGTTGTAATATGAGCTATGTTTTTATAAAAAGTTTGCGAAAAGAAATTAGAATAAAAAACCTTGCATACATGGTGAAAAGTTCTCTGTGTCAATACCTTTCCACAATATTTTCAACTCTAATAATGGACTTTGAACTCTAATAATGGATTTCTTAAAAAAATGATTTTGTTATTTCATTATCGCGTTTTTGAACTCAATAAAATATGTATGCTGATTTGCTAATTATAAATTAATTTAATGTTTAATTTTTTTCAGCACAAACGATTTGAAAATAGACTGAAAAGGACTTGAAAAAGACTCGAAAATGTTTAGAAATACGAATGAAAAATGACTGGGAAAAGACTCGCAAGTGATTTGAATTACAACTGAAAAATGACTCGAAAAAGGCTCACAAAATCTTACAAATACGACTCAAAAATGACTCTCAAAAGACTAGAAATGCAACTGAAAAATGACTAGCAAAAGACGAAAACGATTAGAAATAGAGCTTATTAATTACTCGAGGAAGACTCGAAAGTATTTAGAAATACGCCTGAAAAGTTATTCGCACGAGACTCAGAAATGATTGTAAATACGACTCGAAAAAGTGTCAGAAATGGTCAGAAAAGTGGGTAGTAAAAGACTCGTGAAGAAGAGTCGCGGCCAGGGTACCATTTTCTACCGACAAAAGAGTCTTTTATGATCAGAATATGAGCGCAATTATGATTATTTTAATCGCGGAGAGGACTCAAAAAAGACTCGAATATGATCAATAATTACATATGTACATATTTATTTATAAACGTATGTGTTCCTTTTCTTTCGTACGTGTTTATTTATATATCTGTACTGTAGTGTTTTCGGACGGTACTAGCTCTTACTGCCAATATAGGAGTATTACATATATGACCTTAAAGTTCCCTCAAAAAGCGTTCCATGAGAAATGCCGAACGAAACTGAAATATTTTATGAAATTAACTGCCTTATTATGTACGACAACGTCTCTGATTGCGATTTTATTACTCTATCGGTCGTTTTCGTCTAACTTTTCATCAGTTACGTTGGACTAATTTTTGAAGCATTCCTCTGCAGACGTGTTGCCTATCGTTCGTGATACATAATAAGGCTGTAAATGTCAATTGAGTAATAATTTCAGGAGTTTGTGTACCTCTTTCGGAAGTTTTTTTTTGGCACGTAATTTTATTAAATAAATTAAAATTTTTTGCTTTTCTAACTCTGTTTTTTTTTTTTTTTAATGCATGAAAAATATGACTCTATGGCCAGATTTCTATCCAAAGGCACTTATAAAACCAATTTTTGTGTTAAAATCTAAAATAGTGAGAGTTTGAAAATGCTCATCCCTTTAAGAATACTTCAATTTTCTCAAAACTCTGAGATCAGAAGTATCCACATCCACAAAAGTTTACGTGAAGAGCCTTGAAATAATATTTATTCTTTGAACATATAAAAATCATACAAAACACTTAAATACTAAATGTCATAATACCAAAAGTTCTACGTGAAAGGCATTGGATAGAGCAGGGGTGGGCAATGCCGATGCCGAAAAGAGCCACATGTAAATTCTAAATGCTACAAAGAGCCACAAAATAAATAACAAAAACAAAAATTTTATTTTTAAATAAAATTATTATTAGAAATGAAACACATTAATTTTATTATTATTCTAATGTACGTAAGATATGATATTAAAGAAAATTCAAAAGATCCCTTTGGCCAAATTTTCAAAATCTGGTTTTACGTTAAAGCCGTTCGTAACAGTTCTGTTAAATGTTGGTACGTTCGTTTAAAATATCCAGTAAAAAATGTCCAACAGCAAAATTCCGACGAAATGTCATCTGTTCTCTTACAAGCCAAAAATATCCAAAATAGTACTCGAACAGAAATTTTGCAAGTTAGACGAACAGCTGATAGAAATTTTGTTTACATTCAAAAGTGTAAAATTGAAAACGTAATAAAACAAATCCCGTAGTCTTATCCTGACACAGTTCACTGACTAAACGAATAATTACTTATTTCTTACAAGTTTAATTAGTCGCACTTTACTATTTTAACTTCCAAGCCATCAAATTCAATTTAGGAGTTTGCGTAAATTCCAACCAGCTGTTTTTGATCAGCAGTTTTCTTGTTGGAAAATTGCTGTTGGTAAAATTTTTTTCCGCAACTTTCCATTAAAATTAAATATCATTTTGGTCTCTCAATTTCCCCTACTTTGCAAGTTTTTTGCGTACACGAACACAAAAAGCTGATCGTTTTTTAAAACTTCAATAAATATTAGATACGCGAATGCAAATAATTGTGGACGGTATTTTGACCTTACGAATTTCATTGTAGAGTACAAAGGCTCACAGTTATACGTTGTACCAAAAATTTAAAATATAGGGGACGCAGCTGTTTTCAACAGCGGATATTTTAAATCTGGAACTTGTTGCCGACAATTCAAGCATTGGCAAAGCTTTATGTTGCCGTTCCAGTGCCTTATCTTCTTTTAATACCAAAAACACCAACTCTTCTTCACTTTTCTTATAAAGGAAAATTTCGGATATTGTAAATTGATCCTCAATTATGTTACATAATAAGGGTTTATGAAGTATGCAAACGTACACTTAAATAGTTTCAAATTCGTAAATCTTTTTTTCCAAATCTGCTTTTAAATCATGTGCAAAATTTTTTCTAGTCATGGAAAACTATGAAATATTCTTTTTTTATATCATGAATAAAAAGGCGTAGTTTAGCTTCAAAACTTAAACTACGTATGCCGACGACATCGAAATTATCGGTAAAAACAAGGGCTACATCTGTTATCGTTCTCGGGATTAGATAGAGAAGCAAAGCGAATGGGTCTGGTGGTGAACGAGGACAAAACGAAGTATCTTCTGTCATCACACATACAGTCAGAGCATACGCGTCTTGGCACACACGTCACTGTTGACAGTTCCAAGTGTGAAAAAGTAGACGACTTCGTTTATTTTGCTACCAGCATTAACACCAATAATAATGTCAGCCTTGAAATCCAACGGAGAGTCACTTTTGCCAATAAGTGCTACCTTGGACTCAGTAGGCAATCGAGAAGTAAAGTCCTTTCCCGTTGTAAAAAGATCACACTTTATAAAAGTCGATCATCATGCCTGTGCTGGTGTATAGCGCGGAGGCATGGACAATGAAAACATCTGATGAAGCGGTTCTTGGATTTTTCTAGAGAAAGATTCTGCGAAAAATGTACGGATCTTTACGCGTTGGCGATGGCGATGAGCTTTACCAAGATATAGACATAGTGCAGCGAATTAAAATTCAGCGGCTCCGCTGGCTTTGCCATGTCTTTCGAATGGACAGAAACGCTCCTGCTCTGAAAGTATTTAACGCGGACCACGATGCTGATAACACAGGAAGAGGAAGGGCTCCTATGCGTTGGAAAAACCAGGTGGAGAGAGACTTGGCTTCACTTGGCGTTTGCAATTG